TCTATGTATATATATATATATATATATATTTTTTTTTTTTTTTGAAAAGTATTGGGCAAAGGCTATTATACGAGTTTCCAATGTACAAATACACACACACACACGCATACACACACACATATATATATATACACACACACACACATACATAGAGATGCACACACATAGATATATATATTAGCAATCTCGAAATGATCCTATTGACCGGAAAAACAAACATGTCCAAAGATGGCCCATAAGGAGTCAAAGGCACATAACTGTGAACCCGTATGATCAAGTGCCTAACCATAGTCCATTGAAGCCATGTTTAAAGCCTGTCGAACGATAGACCCTCACGTCAAGATTAAGATCTGCCTAACCAAAAAAAAGGATATGCCAGAATCTTCAAAATAACATCACGAGTCACTTAGAGACATCCTCAAGGCTCGACAAGATAATTTATGTGACAAGTGCGACACCCATATAAATCCCCTTATAATTATCCTGTTAAATAAGTGGGCTACCTGTAGAATTATAGTAATGTGCAATCTGCATGACTACCTAGTCTCATTTTGGCAACGAGAATCCCACTTAAGGGGTCAATTAACTAACAGTCGAACCAAAGGAGCCAGTGAACAAAATTTGATGACTCAAGGACACTCACAAATCGACCGAGTTTCCTTAGCTAAGCCGACCAATTATCCTTAGCTAAGTCGACCGACTCATATCCTTAACTAAGCCTATCGTTTGTTCGAAGCCAAGTCGATTGTGTATCCTCCGCTGGATCGACTGGTTGAGCAGCATACGAGAGCTGATCGTCTATCTCAAGTTCGCAAAATCGATCAGATGAACCTAGCCAACTCAAGGGCAACTAATCTTAAACGATCTAATGATGAGACAATCAATCCAAAGATTTTTATTTGTTTATCTATTTTATTAAAAAATTTATCATTTTATTATTTATCACCAAAATATCTTGTGGCTTCCTTATTCAACCAGGGGCAAGCAAGGAATTATACACTATTTAATTACTTTTGCCTAATAATAAGAGGTCATTCCTACAATAAAAGGCTAATGAATCATTTATGTCAATCTTATCTCATTTTCACTCTCCTGTTCTCCCTCCCTCTCATTTTCTCTCTCTCCTTCTCTCTCATGTCCTACGCTCTCCTCCCTAGGGGTGATTGACAAGGCAATTTCATATTCAACATCTTAAAATGTACAGTAAGCACGAAACATGCCAACAACAAGAAGAAAAGAACCATTAGGAGAATAAGCTCACTACAGAGATATAGGAAACATGGTGTGTACTCAAAAGTTTGTGCAATAGCAAATTCAAGAGTTAAGATACCAAATGATGAGCAAGTTGTTGGAGGCCATATGCAAAGCACTGGCTCGGAGAATCGAGCAAACCCTTCAAGAGTTTAACCCTCAAGAGCATGGGTCAGAACCCAACAGCTGAAGAGCAACCCATGCCTTAGTAGGACAAGGAGAGTTGCGGCGGTAAATGAAACCTTGAAGGTTAACACGTCAACGTAGAAAATTTGTGCATTAAAAATGGCATCAAGGGAACCAAAAATCCAAAGAATAAAAATCACAAGAAAACCACATATTGTCATCACATGAAGCATGAAATAAGATTAACTACAATGCATGAGGAATAAAATATGAAATTTGTCGTTGCAGTGATAAAAAGGATGCATTGTAAGAAAGACAACAAACTCACTATAGAGCCAATTGATCATTGCATTATGTCATGGTCCTCTCCAATTAATACAAACATCCATGGATCTCTCTCATAAATATGCGCTCAATCTCTCCTTACAATATTATAAATCCCTCAAAACAAATCATGAAAGGAGAAGAAAAAGCAAGAAAAATATATTTTTTCGAGTAAACCCGAGGAAAAAACTCCAAGGACTCCAAAGACTTCCCCAAACTCTAAAGGCATAGGCATTAGAGGAATCCACAATCTCCAAATCCGTAAGAATTTCAAATTACACACTTTGTTGAGTTGTCGGGCGTGAGTGTGCTCGTGGGCTCTCATGCATGCACTCGGGTGTGCGGCAACGTGAGATCGGGTGTGCAGCATAGCGGGGGCATGTGTGTGGCAATAAATGGGAGCACGTGAGGCAGCATTGGGAAGCACGTACGACATTGCGGGTGCTCAAAAGCACACCTGAGAGTGCATGGAGATGGTGTGACATGGCGTGTGTGTGCAAGAGCAAGCGAGTTTGCAACATGTGCATGGAGGTAGGCATGCATCAATGTGATATCGCATGTTTGTTCAAGCGCACACAAGGGAGGTTGCGGCGGGTGCATGGAGGTAGAGTTACAGTGGTGTGACACGACTCATGAATGTAAAAGTACGCAAGTGAGGGCGCATGTGGGTGATCACAACACAATTTGTGCATACTTAGTGTGTAATTACTTCAATTTCAATCTCAGACACATGCACCAAAAACTTGACTCTCACTGCCTGTATGTGTTTGCACCATTAATTATTGACTGAGTGCTATATAACAAATATTTCTCGTTTTCTCCACAATTCAATTTTATACAATGGAGAATCGTTTCAAGTAATATAGGACATTCTTTTAGTCCCCACGTATCGATCCCACGGGGAAAGAAAAGCTCTTTTTATCGACTTAGTAAAATTCTATTTAAACTACAGGTAACCAACCTATCTAGGAATTAAGATCGAAATTGTATGTATAAAAAAGCAACTAATACCTACAAATTCTATTTTTAAACTTAAAGAAAATGCTAAAGGTTTCTAAACTAGTTTTATGTAGAAGAGTTTAAATTGTATGAAAATCTTTCTCCTTGCAATGAGATTATAATCAGTATAGGAAGCTAATGTTTATAAATTTAAATGTAATTTTGTGACAAATAGCATAACTGTTTTTTACCTTCCGAGTGCGAAAAGAATATTGGCTAATTTAGAGTTAAGTTCCTAAATCCTTGGTTATGCTGGGTAGGTTCTAGCCTGTCACCCTAAAGTATTCACGTAAGCCCTCAATTAGGGCTAACCTAGCCTTAAGTTTCAATCCCTAGATCAAATTGGTTAAGGATCTAGCCTGTCACCCTAGAATCATCAATTTACACCCATTACATTTTATCTATTTGCACTCACCCCAAACTACTTTTTATTCATCCTAAAGGTTAGTGTGTTTATTACTAATTGAGGAAAAACATAGCCCTCCCGGGTCATTACGTTTTCACAATATGTTTTAACTTATGAACTGGCCAAATTGCAAAACTAAATTAAGCATGAAGTAATATACCATCACAATATTGAAATTAAAAGCAATTCTAAATAATTCCAATCCTATACATGATTACTTCTTATAACAAAGAGAAAGATAAAGAAAATTACTCATATTTTATGGGAAAAATACAACAACACATGAATTGATATTTAAAATCAAATTTACAAAATAAATTTTAACAAACTCAAACAAAAATACAAAACACTTATCTCAAACTGCTCCCCAAGAATATCTCCTGAAGTTCCTTTCTCTAATCCTCTCTCTTCTCCTCAACCACCAATAAAACCCTCTCCAACAAGTCCTCTTACACTTTAACCACCCTTCACTAACCTCTTGACACCTCTTTTACTTGAAGAGAGACATCCTTATAATAACCCTTGAAGCCACCAAGAGTCACTCAAATGCCTCTCTAAAATTCGTTCCAATATATTTTATTTAAAAAAAACACTAATTCTGGCACCTAGGAGCCAGTCTTCTAGAAGCTTAAAATAATGGTCTGGTGCCTATGCGCCAGATTCCGACACCATGAATTTGAGCTCTATTTTTCCATGTACAGGGTCTGACACTTAGGCGCTAAACGCTGGCTCCTAGGCGCCAGTTCACTTTGTGCTCCTTTGCTCCATTTGACCCTGTTTTACTTCGTTTTCGCTCTTTTTTCTCCAAAAGTCCATCTCTGTAGCTAAAACTAAAACACACAAAATAGCTTCCATTAAAGTGTAATATGATTAAAAACGAGCATAAAATGTATCTAAAAAATAACACTTTTTTAGACTAGTCAAAATCCCCCAAACTTCACTATTACTTGTCCTAAAATAACTCTCTTATTCTATAAAACATATACTTTAATATATAGTATTGGATTTCATTAAAGATTCCTATAGATAAATGAGATAGTGCAACTTTTGAAAAATTTACAATAACTCAGGTTAGAACAAGGTTAAAAAAATATCCAGTAATCAAGTTAGGAATTAAGATTTTCTATTCATTTTAAAAATAATTACAATTTGTCACTTAGGAAATCTAAGAATTAAAAGATAGAATTATATGAGAACTCTATTAGTAAAGCTTTAACTAATACATTTAGAATTGATAATAAGTTCAAAATTATAATTAAGTTTCTTTCATTAAGATGATTCAAGTGAAGTCAAATTTTAATTAGA